TTAAAACCTGTTAAAAAAGGATTTAAGAACAACAACAAAAATTTTTTAGAAGATTTAAGATTTTTTAAGGCGTAAAACTTAGCTTTTGAGACTGACCCCGCAGATATCCTGCTATTATTTTTGTCACATTATTGAAGTGCAGTAAAGACATTTAAACACCTTTAACATTTTTATATTATAATACTTTGCTGGTCAAAGGGGCATCGATGTGTGGATTTCCAATGAACATCAAGTTTTTGCCATCAAATTGATTAGCATATATGGCTTTTTTTGATGCTGTTTTGACATTAAAGAACCCACTGGGATGCACAACACACTATTCCTTTTCCATAAACACACAGCATGCATAAAACTAGCAATGACTAGTCTATTATATTAAAGACAGCACTTTTTTCACGACTAAAGGGATTTCATCTTTTTGCATTGCCCATTTTTAAATTGATTTTCAATATCAATGCACCATGATGCATGTCTCTGGCCATACAAAGATCAATACATATTGTATCTTCTGAACACTAACCTTTGCAACAAAGGAAGATCTGTATTTATTGTTCCCTTATGGCAAACATAGCCCTCAACCAAGTGGATTTACTTTTTGTTACTTTTACTTAGAGCACAGAAGCTTTTCTTAATGGTTTCTGCTACAATGACTATGATGTTTACCTGAAAATAAATGGAGAGTGAATCAATCGGACACGTTTAGAGATGCATATCATTTGATACCATCTTTGTGTAGAAATTAATACTGCATTCAGACTCTGCATATTAATAGTGGAAATCTTTATTTAAGTGAAGGGACTGCAAACCCCAAAAATGCTCATTAGATACCAACATGAGAATACAGTAGTGAGTAATGTATGCTGTGTCCAAAGCAGCTGTTAAATAAAACAATATCCGCTCTGACCTGCTTTGAGTTCTATAATCAATAATTAACCCATGCCTCTTATAGAGTGAGTCCACACGCATAATAAAAAGTGTATGGACAACTTGCATATTTCTCTGTAAAGCTTTTATTATACATCCGGTAAAAGCACTCCAGGGTACTCACAGCATAATTAAACAGCCACAGGCAAGATAAAGGCATTATTTCAGCATGTGGCCATAAATGGCATCTACTGTAGCATTCTTGCACCAATTTGGAAATTTCAGAAATATTGAGAAATAAATTATAGCCATTCAATACAATAATTTAAAATGAATTTAGATCATACACTCAAAGAATTATTTTTTTCTGCTTTTTCAAACTACTTATTTAAAATAAGCTGAAATAGCATGATTTGTGAGTTTTTTTAGGGGGGGCTCAATTGTTTTATGTTCAATACACTTAAATTTGTTAACTTAAATTAATTTGTGTTGGTGACAACATGAATGAATTGTGTAAAACCCTGCATTTTTTACAGTGTATTAATGATAAGATTAATACTAACAATTTTATTTAATGTTTGTATTATTTGAGTAATTTCCCTTTACCTATGTTTTCCTTTGAACCTTTTTTAGGAACGAAAACCAATTCTACTGAATAAAAACTATATTTTTAAGGATTAAAAAACAATAAAAAAAGACAAATGTCGCGCTCTAACACTTATAGATCTCTGGAGAACATTCACTATCACCCGGACTACAAATCTGTCATCATAGGAACCACAAATCCTGTCATGCACGCACACACGCGCGCACACACACACACACACACACACACACACACACACACACACACACACACACACACACACACACACACACACACAAACACACACACACACACACACACACACACACACACACACACACACACACACACACACACACACACACACACACACACACACACACACCCACACACACACACACACACACACACACCTGTACCAGTTCTCCTTTGATAACTCACACACTGCTATAACTGAATGTGTCAAGAATATCGAAAACATTTATTTTGACACCCCTAGCACACACACACAGACTAGGCTGAGTCTTGTTTAGTTTTCATCACAAAGTGTTTTCCTTGTTTCCTTTCTGTGTTTGACCCTTGCCTTGTTTTATTGTTTAACCCGCTGACCGCCTATCTGCCTGTTACCTAAAGACGCTTTCAGATTTCCCTGCATGTTCGTGTTTGTGCCTGTCTTTGAAAATTGCCTGTCTGACTACTCTAAATAAAGCTGCATGTGGATCATCTCTCCATTGTTACCCGACTCCCTTGTACTTACAAACAAAATACTTATTTGACAAAATATGCTGGAATTAGTATTACTAATGTGGTTATATGTGAAAATGTGAAATATTTTCTTCTTTTTTTATATGAATATTTCATTTAGATTTTGTTACATGTAAGTAATTATTTATGATTTGGCTTTATTTAAAAAAAAATATGTCATATTTATTGTTTACATTTAGGTTTTATTTATTTCATTTTCATATCACATTAAAATAAAATAACATATTTTAATGTGTCATATTTTTAACATATTGTAATGTGGTATGGCTGAATTACCAAACTATACTTTTATATTATATTATATTATATTATATTATATTATATTATATTATATTATATTATATATTTTATTTTACTTTATTTTATTTTATTTTTATTTTTATAATTATTTTCATAAGTCTTGTGGTGCAGACCTCTTGGCTAGGTCACCCTTGAAAATAAAGTCTTAATTTCAATGGGGTTTTTTACCTGGTTAAAAAAATAAACATATATTTTTCTTGTCAACTAGAGAACATAAAACATTTTGGTATTACTTTAGTGTAAGTATCAATTTTCACTAGTAACTAGTGGCTTATTTTACTGAATGATAAAATGATGACTAAAACGATGCAAAACTGTTGCAAACAATTCATCTGTTGAATTTAAACAAACAAATTACATTTAGTAATGTTCAACTTATAATTTTGTTTCAATTTAGCACAAATAAATTGTTTACAACCACTTAACATAATTATTTTAGTAAATCCAAGAAATCATCTTCACTGAATATTTTTTTCAGTGTACCTGCCTATAAATAAGGGTGCAGTAGGGGATTGTCTTAAAATGGGTAAAATTCTCTTTACATTCCGACAGTACTGGATAAAGTAAATGGTCTAAATGTATTTATATGTATTTTTATATTCTGGGTAAGGCATAAGACTAAAAATGTTTATAGAAAAATCTAATAAAAATAGTTGGGCCGTCAAATAACTCAATTATGACAGCAAATCCGTCAACAAATTGAAATTTGTATTTCTGCACAGCCTGTCACACGGACAGAATCATCATTTGCGCATTCACAAGAAGCATGGACAACTACAGCTAACAGAGACAGACATCAGGTGAACTCAGTAAGCATCAACCTGAAATTCTTTCTGAAAGACCAACGTGGCCTTGTATCCATGAAAAGAAAGATTGTTTTTTAAAAGGGCAGAATCAGAACTCTTCTAAATTCTGAATTAATATCGTTACTTTAGTGCACTGGAGGCAAATAACGTTATGCAGTTCAAAACCACGATCAGAAGCATGACGCCATGGCTAAAGTAATACTTTTAGACAGGTGTGTTTTAAAACTATTTTAGTCATGCAAGGCTTATGTAGATTGTGTTTTTTTATGAATAGGCTTAACTAAAAGAAGCTGAAAACAAGCAATATACTTGAAGATCATCAAGCACAATATAACATAAAAAGTCACTCGTCTTGATGTCAGTTTAATACAAAACGATGACAGGATATTTCTGATTTTAGCACTCTTTTTTTCTGATCTTATATAAAACCAACTTTAACCCAATGCCAGTGTGGGGGAAATATTATTCCTGCACCCGCTGGCTTTTCAACAACTGGACAAAGTGCCTGGCTGTTTCTCAATTCCAAGAACGCAGAGAATGGACTTGGGATCTTATGAAGACCGCTCTTGCCAGGTGTCCACAGAAGAACGAACTCAGGAGACTACGAGAACAGAGAACGCGTCCTGTGAGAAATGAGATGCTGCATTCTTCCTGATGGTCACATGACCTTCACACGTTTTAATGAAAAATTACTTAAACATTACAGCATTCATACAACGGTTTATTGTTTTTACCCTTTTTCAAAATATATATTTTGCATAAAACATTATAAATATATGTTGCACCATATAAATAAAACAGACTTTAATACGAATTTCAGCAAACAAACACTCTTAATGTGTTTATTCCTTTATTAAGATGTCTGTGGTAATGTTTACTTTCATCATTTCATTTAGGCATACTCCCAAGGTAAATAAATTATATCTTTAAACTTTAATAATAAATCTAAATAAAATGCTGCGTTTCCCACCTCCAGACGCAATGAATTCTGGGACTTCCAGAGTGAGTTCGGTGCTCAAGTCTGCATCGGTGCATCCTCGATTTCAAGAACACATCCAGGAAGTTTCACGCGTCCTCTGTTCTTTCGGTCTTGAGTATTGGAACTGAACTTTGGCAGCTGATGATGACATTACACGAGAACATGAGGATGCAAATCCGCTGCAAACGCATATTGAGAAACAGCTCCATAAAGTTTTATAACTGGTAAATAACATGATCCAGTGTTATATAAGGTTGTCTATCGTCATCTATTTGGTATGTGTTCATGACTCAAGTAGGCTTTAATACGGCAGGGGAGGGACGCAAGTTATTATGCTAACATTAGCATTCTTGCAGATCACCAACTGCACCTTTAAGATATTGTCTGTTTATTAATACCATACATTTTCTGCATGATCTTATTCCATAAACCTACCCAATACATAAACATATAGTAAGCACTACCTAATAACTAATAATATGTAGCAAATTATGAGTTTATTGATGAAAAAAAAAAATTTACCTTAAAATCAAGTGGGCAACTTTTTTTTATATACACTTAATTTCCTAACATTTACAGCCTTTAAAATAACAAAAAGCCTGCTCAGAATTAGATTGCAGACTATTCAACCCTCCCTAACATATGAACTCTTGCAGCTTCACTTTGTGTGATGTGAAAGGCTCAAGTACTTTCTTCTCACCTGCCCGTTTGAATCTCTGGATCAAGTGCTCTCTGATCCCCCTCTGCAGGTTGAAATAGTCGTCTTCTTCATCAGGGGTGCGAAGGAAGAGTGGAATGTGCTGGAAGACAAGCACATGTCGAGACGGGGTCTGAACTGCCATCTGTAACCGGTTCTCCAGCCAGACCTCATGGGCCTCCATTAACTCAGGACAGCCTGATGAGTCAAAAAAGAACTGAGAGTTCAACACCAGGCACAGCACGCCACCCACCCAAAAACTGAAGTAATCATCGCCCCATTCGTGGCAGAACTGCTCCACAGTGTCTGGAGTGGGAGCATTGCCGAGGTCGTGGTTTCCGCTGACGAACACAAGAGGAATGTGCGGGTCGGTGCCTCGCAGGGCATCTTTCAGGTCCTTTATCTGCTGTTCTCTGAACGGACTTCCTGAAAAATGTAAAAGAAGGAAGATTTTACTTGTTTGAAAACCTTAAGAGAGTCAACACTGTTACCAGTTTGTCCAGTTGTTCGCCATGTACATTGGTGGACTTAAGATGCAGAGATAAGTTGAACACGTCAATGAGGTTCGAGTGAAGAACTGTTCCAAAAAGCGGGTAAGACAAAAACAAAAGCCTAAAAATAAAATAAATAAGTAAATAACGGTGAAAATGTGGTAAAATCTGAAAACATGGTAAAAATTTGACGAGGGCTGATGGCTGGATTGCTTTTTAAAACTGTCGGTTGGCTTTAGGAAAATTAGTGGGTGGGTCAACCTGTGCTTTTGAAAACACTATCGGTTGGGGTTAGGAAAGTCGATCGGTCAGTCATTCAGTCGACAGCGGCCTCTGGTGAATTTCCGCAAGAACAGCAGGTGCGAATGGCACTTGCAAGAGAAATTTGAGATCTAAAAAAGCGTACACAGTGGCCTCTAGTGGATTTGCTAAAACAAAAACTGCAAAAAAATAAAAATAAAAAATTTGCTCCTGGGACATATTTGGTGTTTTCCAGAAGTGGTACATTTTCAGAATGAGCCCGGGATGAATAATAAAGTAGGATATTTTAAAATACTTATTCCACTATTCTTTTCATTTCAGTGGAATACATTTTCATCAAGTTCATTCATTCATTTTCCGCCAACTTATTCAGCATATGTTTTAAACACCGAGTGCCCTTCCAGCCGCAACCTAACACTGGGAAACACCCATACACTCATGCTAGATTCACTATGATATTTTTATTTTTAGATTTTATGTTTCATACTCATATTAAAGAATTAAGTCATTTTTATTTGATTTTCTGACATTTTATTTTATGCGTTTACTTTTCTAATTAATTTTATAATTTAGAAGTTGAACAAAAAATAAAAATAAAAACCTCATACAAGCACACCAAACACTTTTTGGGGACCTGCCATAGATAAAAAATATATTTATATTGTACAGACTCTTTATTCTATCCCCACCTTTGGTTCCCATGACCCATTTTCCTTATAGGGACCAAAATCTTTCCCCACATAGTCCAAATTTAATATAATTGCAATTTTCATCTCCACAATATAAGGAATGCAAGCTACACACGTGTTGTGTATATCTGTATCTGTGTTGTTTTATTATTTATTTAGTTTAGGGGTTCTCAGGCCGTACTCACACTAGGTACAGTTGCCTCGAACCGGGCCAAAGCACGCTTGTCCCCCCTCCCGTCTCCCCCGACGGCCCGCGCTCACACCATATCGGGCCTCGGCACGCTTACGTCATCGCTGCTGCGCTGTTCAGAAGCGCTCTCTATGGCAAGCCTTTTTAGCATTTAAATCTTTGTTCTGACTCCATAAATATATTTAGAGATATCTCTAATTATATTTTGACTAGTCATAATTATAATTCGACTAGTCAGAATGACAATTAGAGATATCTGCAATTACAATTGTACTAGTACGAAATCAGATTGGAGATATCTGCAAATATATTATGACTAGTCATATTCCTCCATTGACTTCCATTGAAAAATATTTGCAGATATCTCTAAATGAGTTGAATCCAATTCAAGATATCTACAACTGTAATTCGACTATTAGTAAATTAATTAGAGATCTTCAAATATATTTGTAAATATCTCTAAATATGACGAATTAAAGACATCTCCAAATGTATTATGACTAGTAAAAACTCAGAGATATCTCTAATTACAATTGTGCCGAGTCAAAACTCATTTAGAGATATCTGCAAATATTTTTTAATGGAAGTCAATGGAGGAATATGACTAGTCATAATATATTTGCAGATATCTCCAATCTGATTTCGTACTTGTACAATTGTAATTGCAGATATCTCTAATTGTTATTCTGACTAGTCGAATTATAATTATGACTAGTCAAAATATAATTAGAGATATCTCTAAATATATTTATGGAGTCAGAACAAAGATTTAAATGCTAAAAAGGCTTGCCATAGAGAGCGCTTCTGAACAGCGCAGCAGCGATGACGTAAGCGTGCCGAGGCCCGATATGGTGTGAGCGCGGGCCGTCGGGGGAGACGGGAGGGGGGACAAGCGTGCTTTGGGCCGGTTCGAGGCAACTGTACCTAGTGTGAGTACGGCCTTAAATCAGATGTTTGTTCAAATTCAACAAATGCCCTGCAAAGTAGACTCTATATTCCACCCTGGTATTAGTTTGCAGGGAGCATCTTTCATTCAAATAATTTAGTGTGTGATTTGTTATTGTATTTATTTATATAAATATATTGTCACACTTGACACTTCTCTAGTAATATGTTGTGTCTAGTATGCCTTTGTGTAAATCCGTGAATGAACATTCTGAAGTGTATTAAAAGTTTCTCATGGTCTGGTAGAGAGTAATGAAGAAGAAGGAACCAGGGAAGGATCGATGATCCTAAAACCAAGATTGAGAAACACTAGTTTAGATAATTTACACACGCACACACACATGCAATCTCTTCTGTAACATAATGTAGTAAATTTAGTTACTTAAAATAACTAAAATACTAAAATGTGTCTACATTTGTGCCTGTGTTGTTTTAGTATAATGATTCTAGTCTGAATAAAAAAAAAAAAACATTTTTCCCTTTTCATTTTAACTTTTAAAGTGTCTATAAAGCTTTTAGTAATGTTATTTACATTTAGTTATTCTAGCACAAATTGAAACAAATACATACAGACACACAGTATGCATAAAAACCTTCATTTCAACATATTACACAATATATAAATAAATTTATAAAAATTTTAAAACATTTTTTTTCCCAATCAGAACAATTTTCACAGATGTGCACAACAGGAGCGAAAAAGACTAAATAAATAACCCAAAAAAGTAAAAATGAAGAAAAAAATAAAACTACAGTTAAATCCCCAGGAGCAATACGGCACACAGCAGCTATAAACACAGCAGGAACAGTCAGTTTTCAGTGGAAAATAAGATGCAGCGCCAGACATGAGGCATGTGATAGTATATAAATACAATCTTCAATGGCTTCTTCCATCTTCAAAAGAATACTGAAGCAGTCAATATGTGCAGGATTCAGAATGAAGTTTCTGTTTCATGCAGAAAATAGGGAAGCATTCAGTCTAACCACATTTCTCTAAAGTAAAGGCAGACTGTCAAGTGAGTTTTGAAGCTCGTTAATAACAGCCTTAGGTTACCTCTAATATGACAAGTAGGGCATCTTGCTAATTGCCTGCTGTGAATCTGAAACTCAATGAGTAGCGAGGCTGAAATTAGAGTTGGCATTAGTGACTGTGCTGTTGAGAATGCTTGACAAAGAAAACTAAACCAACAGACCATGGTTTTTGTCTATGGAGAGAATTAAATGCCTTTCCTACACCTCACTAAAACGTGTTTTAGATAAATAAAAAATTGGATTACATTTAATGTAAATTATTATAGAGAAACCAATGTGAGTAAAATAAGTGTGCTGTTGGAAGTCATCAATCACTACTGTCAAAATCAACAAAATTATGAATTGTTCCACCATCAGACAGTAATAGTCTTATTGGTATATCCTAAACACTTATATTGAAAACCAGCATAGTCAAGACAAATCTTTTTAATCATTGGAAGGTTATAGGGCTGCATGATTAGTGATTGAACTGCTGCGATTCTCATGCACATGCTGTCTGTTACATTCCATTGTGTTTTGAATTTAATGTTGTGTTTGCTTTCTTTCCTCCCTCTCTCCTTTCTGTTTCCTGTTTCTCAGCTAGGTGTGGAGGAGCGGAGGTCAATTGATTGCGCCTGCTGCTTGTTGCCCTGCAAGCTTAAAAGCTGACCAGTTGCAAGCCACAGTCAGTACGTTTACATGGACAGAAATAATTCGATTTTAATGCGATTAGGACAATACTCTGATTGAAAGTCTAGCATGTAAACATCGATTTTTAAATTAATCCGATTAAGGTCATAATCGAACTAAAGAGAAATTGAATTAAGATGTTGAGTATGCCGATTTTAGTCACATTATTAAAGTGCAGTACAGACATGTATACACCTTAATCAAACTATAACCGTTATGTAGGACTTTTTGCTGCGTTTTGTGAAGGGATAGTCCACACAAACACACACACGGCTGTTTGACAATTCTTTGCACTAGTTGGTGAAGACCACAGACACCTGCATCATGAAATGCTGAGTTTTTTTTTCTTCCATTCAGCATCTTCTCTTAAAACAAAACTCTTCCAGCAGTTCATAGTTGCATCCAATATCTCATTTGTCACAGGGGGCATGCATGAAATGTTCTGGAATGAAAGTGGCAAACTGCAGTTAAAGTCGACAAATTAAAAATGAAACACCCAAAATTACATAAAGGTCCGGAAGAAATGTGACCTTAATTGAATTATGTGCTATAACATGTTGTCAGTGACTAAGTAATCAAATTATTTTCCTTAATCTGATAAATAGATATATACACTAGATATCGCATAGGGACCCTGAGCATGCGTCAACATCGCCGCCACATTGGTACAGTGCTCCCAGGACAAATGTCATTCAACCGCACTAGTCAAGACAGTGTTATGACGTGAAGATGCGGGACTTTAGCGCTGTCTACGGGTGTAGTAACGAGCAAACAAAGAAAACAAAGCACAAAGGCAGAACATTTCATTGGTAATATTATGTTTTTTTTCTGTTTTTGTGTTCTGAACTTTTTTGCTAATCAGGTAACGTTATTGATGATAACAGACACTTACTGCATTCACCATACGGCAAAGCAGCTTCAACTCGCACTAAACACTCGGCTTATGCTAGTTTTGTTGAATAAAATTAGCAAACAATGCAAAAGAAATATGACAACGAGATGCTGCGCTGCCAGAAACTTGTATTACTGTCGGCTAACGTTAGTGAAAGAGTCGTTCGGGGAATTCATTCACAAACGAATCGCTCCCTCCGTCAGTATGAGAAGTGAAAGCAGGCAAGGAGGTGTGTTTCAGGACACGGATTAGATTAA